ATCTTTTGTATCCTTTTTATCTTTTTTATCTATTTTATCTATTTTATCTTTTTGTCTTTTTTATCCTCGTCCCACCTACCACTACCGGTAGAAATCTGTTTGAGAAAATTCACATCACTAACGCTATCCTTATCCGTTTCTATTTGATCTACTGCTGCTTATTCATGGGTATTGCATAATTTGTGAATTTATTAGCTGGTTGATACGAAGATATTGGATGATATATTTTTGTGATCTATTGTATAATTTCGTATTTGATATATTGTGTTATGATTGCTAAGCCAGGTTAGTATGGTGTTCAAAGGAAAGTAAGGCATTCCAGATAGAATTGTTTAATTTCATCCTATCCGTGTCATAACAACATTCAAGGTAAACAGTAGTATTTGGAATTATTTGCAAGCTATTCAATCGATACTCTTAAAATCTGCATTGATAGTATGTATTTGCTCGAAAGGCGAAAGGGACAGAATATCATAGTTATTGTTTTGCAACATTCCTTTGAGGAGAGACAAAATATTTGATCACTTATTTATGCTGATTACATAGTTGACATGTGTTATCAATAGTGTAACGATTAATTTTTCCTGTGTCTCATCACTTCCTTATTTGTCTAATTCTTTAAGTTGCACCTTCCATAATTGCACCATCCCATCCCATCCTATTCATGTTAGTAGTATTAGGCATTATTATGTATTCTTGGTGGCTTAATTCATGCAAGAGCGTTTACGCTCGAAGTAGAGCGTTTACGTTCAAAGTAGAGCGTATACGCGATTGCATTAATTTGTAATCATTGAGCCTTGAGTAAATGTGGAATCTACAGCGTAAGCGTTGAGATCCCTATGATGACAATCTGTAAAATTAGAATGTATATAAGAATGCGTCTTCATCCTTAGTTGAGGATAACATTCGCTCTCCCAAATTTCTCTAAAAATAAAGATCACTTATATTCACATTCTTTTTTATCATAGATGCCTAATAAATCATGAATATTCGAATACCATATTTTATCGCTCAATTCATGTGACCCTTCTAACGTCAACCATCGGAGTTAAACTCGGCATCATAATACTAAGCTCTCCCTTACGATGGTTACAATAGCAAAAATCATAAAAAAAATTTGATTATATAAATAATTTGAAAAAAGGTTTCATCTCATTTGCCCGACAACTATTTTTGCCTGACAACAATTTGCCAACAACTATTTCCCTAACAATATCTTTGAAAATATTGTTAAAAATAATTGTCGGGCAAATTGTCACATGAGTGATGGAAACCGAAGTATAAGCGACGATCAAAGCTAAAGTACTATGCATAACAGGGACTATAATAGAGTTAAATAAACTATGTAATTAGTAATAACGTAATTGTATAGCATGAGGGTATAAATAATAACGTAATTGTATAGCATGAGGGTATAAATAAAAGATGTGAAAGGAAAGTGAAATAGAAGTCTTAGAAGTTTTAGTTTTAGAATTTCGCACAAAAGCATATTCTGAATAAAGAGAATAATTCATATTTGTCATCAATATCATTTATACTAAATAAATAAGCGAGTGTTCGTTAAATCCGTACCTAGCTAGAATTTTGGTGCTAAACTATCATTATCGCTTAACCCTGTGATACAAATTGTTGTCATGCAAGAATAGTTATCAGACAAATTGTCGTCGGCAAATGACATAAACCCTTAAAAAAGGCAAATTTATGGTGATTCATCAAATTTAGTATTATTTTTTTTCTGTATGTCAGATTCTTTTCGAAATAATACAACTAATTCGTAAATGAACTAGTTAACATTTCTAATCAGACCATTAAGATTAGTTATACGCTTATTCATCTGTTCCTGGTTTAGTGCGACTGCATCGAGCAACTAATTATTTAAATTAGTCTTGTAATTATACGTATATACATAAATCACAGCTAAAGCAAAAGTCTTTTGGGATCAATATTACAGATCCATTTTCACTTTCTTAGCTGGTATAAAAGCAGAGCAAAATCATACGGCAATCAATAAAGAAAAACAGGTAAAAAAATAAATAAATATCTCTTATTGGTTTTACGAGTGATGAACTTATAGAATTTTGGATATATCAAAACACTTCACTTAAAACTGGATGTCTATTTTGTCGACCACACAAATTTTCTTTTTAAATAAATTACGGAAAAGTTTAATAGAACTTGCAAAAAAACAAAATCGTACATAGTGACAAGATTTCAGAGATGCCATATGATGCTAGGATGTCTTACGAATTTTTAAACATTAAAGGAAATTTAAAAATATTATTTGTACAAAATATCGAATTTAGACCCTCATTATTGTCTCGTTTGCATAAACAAAAGTCATTTATTTAGACTCAAAAGGTATTAACTGCCCTATTCACTACTATTAATGTCATGTTCACCAAGTTTTTCGGAAATATATAAATCAGCCTCTTTCGAATCTATATCAAGCAGTCGACTGGTATAAATGGCTTGCGGATGTGTTTGGTAAATTAAGTTATCATGTGTTGATGATTCTTTTGTAGCTTTTATTTGTTGATATTGCTGGTGAAATACTGGATCCGAATCATTATGCCACATTTTAAAATAATCTTGTAACTCAGCAGCTTTCGGGCGGAGTAAAGGGTTACCATCCCAACACTTGATAATTAAGTTTTTTAATAGTTGGGGTATGTTGACAATATCTAAATTAGGTCGAAGTCCATTGCATATGTCTATAGTCAAGGAAGTGTCATGAGGAAGATCGAAGTACGGAGGTCGTCTAGAAAGTAATTCATACGCAACTATTCCCAGAGAATAAATGTCAGAAGCTTTTGTATATAGCTTTCCTCTTAAGACTTCAGGAGCAACAAATGGTAATACCCCATAAATTTTCTTATTTTCATTTGCTTCATCTGCTGGCTTACATAATCCCAAATCAGCAATATAACAAGCAATACCTCCCAGATTTCTACTATGTTTAATTAATAAATTACCCGGATGAAAATCCTTATGAATTAGTCCGTGAATATGAATATAAGTTAGTCCATTTGTCATTGTATATAACAATCCAAGTTTGTCATTTAACGATAGTTTATCATAATTATTATTTAAATATTGTCTTAAGCTACCACCTTTAAAATAATGCATTACCATTAAATAGTTTCTCGTTGTGGGGTCCTGTGAAATTCCGCAACATTTAACAACGTAAATAACAAACTTTTGGTGCTCAAATAATTGATGATAGGTTATCTCTTGTAAAATATCAGATGTTAGATCTTTAGAATTATTTAAACATTTTAAAACAACATGTTGAGATTTCCATTTTGCCTTTGATATCACGCTAAAGCCTCCATGAGCAAGATATTTAATATTTGTTAATTTCTCATAAGGAATCCACTTAAATCTTTTATCATTTCGAATAAATTCACTGATTTTATCATTTCGAATAAGTTCATTGATTTCATCGTTTTCTGGATTATTATTCAACTCTTTCGCATAATCAATGCTGTTTGAATAATCATTAATATCATTGTCAGTTGGTACAAAATTATCATAATCCAAAGGCTTCGAAAAGTAAAAATTAAACTCATTGGAATCTAAATGGTGAAATACTAACAAAATAATTAATGCACTTACTTTTAATGAGTTCGGATAGAGAATATTGTGATGATGATTAATTTTTAATGAATTCGGGTAGAGAACACTGTGATGATTTTCCATTTTTTTTTTTTAACGAAATTTGATTTAACGTTAAGTTTTCAGAACGATTTTTCGGATTTTATTTAAATTTGCGTATCACTAATTTGTTTTCGGCAGTGATTTTCATGATATTTTACTTAATGCTCCTATCGCTATACGGCGACCTCAAGTTTGTGAAACGCGGGGTTTTACTAAATTTACTTAGATAACTAACGCCAATACTATTCACAACCATTTATAGCGAATAAACTTGAAGCGTTGTACATACGTACTGTACGTACGTTATGATGGGCTATTTTTATTATTTTTTTTCATATTATTTCTATTTCCGGCAATAATTGCCATATGTAGTTAGTAGAAGGTGGGACGAGGATAAAAAAGACAAAAAGATAAAATAGATAAAATAGATAAAAAAGATAAAAAGGATACAAAAGAT